ATGCCTCAGTTAGAAGGGCTAATTTAAGTGGAAGGTAATAGAGAATCCACTCCATGCATATTACCAGTGTTCCCCAGCCTGGTGCAGGAGGTCAGACTGGTGCCTGCTGAGGGCAGAGGAACTGCTGGTCTGGCACTGCACTCACTGAGGGCCTTTTTACAGTTTTCAGGTGCCTTTTCACTGAGACACCCAAATGATCTGTTTACCTCCAGTATCAGAGATAAAAAGGATTCAGTGCAAAAGCTTGTGGGTACTGAAATGAAAGTGTCATCAGAGCTAGTGTCTTATTGAAAAGTCAGGTTGCTTTCTCCTGCAGAGTGTCCCAGTCGTGCAGAATAGCTGTACCGCGGAGGCGTTATACTGCCTGCCTGATGGGACCTTCCTAAGGCTATGGTATTTTGCAAACAGTTCTTGTAAAACAAACAAAAAACAAAACAAAAAAAAACCCTAACCAAACAACACCCACCCACACCCCCGCCCAGTGGGGTCAGTGTACCAATTGTTACAAAAATTGGGATAAAAGGAAATAAATGCATGAGCTGAGTTGCCTATGAGATGGATTTCCCTGGGAATCCCTGCTCTCAGCCATCTGGCTCCAGGGGACTGGCAGAGAGTGGCACCACACCATTGCTCACAACTGCGGCATGCTGTGTCAAATCACTAGGGTGAAAGACATGACTCGAATGAATGGAATTTGGAACTTCATAGCAGATATGTCTGAATCTGGGTTTTTCCCTGAAATTCAGGAAAAGCTGCAGTCACCTGGTCCTCTGAGTCACCCAAAGAAAGAAATGAGAGGTCGGTGTGCAGCAGTGCAGAGCAGGACAGAGTATGCAAGGAAGGGAGAGGAGAGGGAAAGAATGGTGAAAAGCAATGAAGAAGAAACCAGAAAAAGAGGAGAGATGGGGGATTTTCTTCAGAAAACAGAAGCTGAAAATGTTTTAGCTTTAAAGACCTTTTTGGCTACTTCTGCCTGATCTTTCCTGAGTTTCCTTGTAGAAAGGCTTTATAGAAAGGCAGGATCAGTAAGTGGGCAGCAGCTTGTGCTCTCAGTGCTGCACTAATTCTGAGCTCAACTCCCCTGAGGAGCCCTGTCCATAACTTAAGCAGGAGCTGGGTGGGACTTCACTGTGCTCCTCAAGCTCAGGGAGGCATTCTCTTCTTCCCAGTCCCTCCCCTTCCAGAGAGGTATGGTGACTACGGGGTCTCTTGAATGACCAAGCTCTGGTGTGCAATTTACAGGTGCTCCTATTATGTGTGCACTGGAAATTATGTTCCAAACTGTTTAACAATCAAAGGTCTAACTTTACAGAAAATAGGGTAATTTTGCAGTTCTCTATCATAAAAAACACGATCTATCACTTTAATAGTCCTTGGCTGTTTCTTAGCATCTCTCATCTAAAGGTTTTAAAGTGCTGTTAGACCTTAATGAATCAAGACTCACGATCTCCCCAGAAGGTAGGTTTGGTGCTCATTTCATTTTGCAGACAAGCAAACCAGGACACAGAAAGGAAGTGATTTGCCCTCCAAGGCCACATATGAAGGGTTACAACAAATGCAAACTTTGATCTGGCCACCCACCACTTGATTTTTTGAAGCCATTTTTTAGGTAAATCTTGTGCCATGGCATCAGTGAGGTCCTAGCACTTTTTTCAGATCAAATGTAAATATTGTCTAAGTCAAGGAAATCTCTTCTAATAAGCAACAGTTCAAAGCAAGGCCTTGTCTATTAAAGTACCCCATTTTCTGCCCTTTCCTTCTGGGTCACATAATCTGCAGTTCATGACACACAGAGACTTGACTCAAATTTTATACTTGCATACAGACTTGTCCATGTGCTGACACTCTTCTGCAGGGCCTTGCAGCACCCCCAGCTGCTGCAGTGAAGGGGAAACTCTCTCCGAGCCCCCTGTGCCGGCAGCCGGGCTGGTGGTGTGACTGCCAGCTGCTGGGAGGCTGCTGGAATTTCGATGAGTTAATCTCATCACTTTATCACAGGGCACTTACAGAAATTACAGGGAGCTGTGAGCAGCTCACTGTGCTGGCAGCCAGCCCCAGGACCCATAAAAGAAATTGAGACACAAAAAAAAAAAAAAAAAAAAAAAAAAAAAAAAGTCAGAGAACTTTGTTAAAGTTTTGGAGATGTTAGTTTTTCTTGGATGAGTTCTGCTTGGGTAATGCTGCTTGTGCCTTCCCTGGAGATGTCCCTGCTTCCTGCAGTAATGGCAGGTATTGCCCCCAGCTGTAGCTCTCAATCCATGCAGCACGGAACGTGTTTTGGGGCCTGATATAAAACTCCGCTTACTTTGGCAGCATTGTCTTGTGTGAAGAGGGTACAGTGGGCCTCACCTCTAGCATTTGCGCCTGTAGAGAGGGCGGTAAGACACAGCTGCTGGTGCTTTCTTCCTTCAGACTAGGCACAGTGTGTGGAAGGGGCACATGAACCTGTGTTCAATGTGAAGGCAATAAGGCATGCTGAACGGGATGTCCCACCAGTGCTGGGTGTATTTTTTCACATCTGCTTACCAGCAAACCACATGGCTGCTGTACTACCTGGTGGCGACTGCTTTGCTGTCCAGGGAGGGGAGATTGCCCAGTGCCCACCCTCCCTCTAGCTCTGCTCCTTTAACAGTCATGATCCCAGTATAGAAATGCCTTTGAGAACTGCTTATTCAAGCTGTACATATAGTGTGTATATCTTAACCAGTAACTACTCTGACACTATCGCATTTAGTTGTGATGTAGGTTTTGTAGGCAATTTCCAGTATTTTGCTTGTCAAGGGGTCCGTGGGCTGGAGGCATGGGGAAGCTGGGGGATCTGCTTGACACTGCGTAGTGGGACCCTGAGCTGCCAGATGAGGTCTGTCACTGCCTCCTGCTGCTCTAAGGGCTCAGTGCCCTTGGTGTAGTGTCTCTGTGTTAGGGGGCAAATTTTTGGCCTTGGGACCACAAAACATGAAATCTTACATCTCTGCAGAACTCTGGTCCTGGCTTTGGTGAGAAAGGTGGGCATTGAAACTAAGGCAAAACCTTCCAAATTGAGACTGTTTGAGTTTTATCCCAGGTTTGTGCCTGCTCTGTTCCTTCCTGTGTGGGGCACAGCAGGTATCTGACCATGAGGTCAGGGCCTCCCTGGTCATGGGTCTGTAATGTGCTGGAGCTCTGTGTCTAGAGCAGGAGTTTGTTTATTACCTTGAGATCAAGCCTGAATCTCAATTTCCAGCTCTCTGAGAACCTTGATATATTGCTGGCTATTGAAATTCAGGTGCTGCACAATGATGAAATACAGTCTGAATGGAAGCAACTTGTGCAGCACACTCTGCTCCTGCAGACAAACTGCATTTTGGGGGCAGATGAACAATGGTGAGGAATGGGGTGGCTGGGCCGGAGCTTAGGGGCAAGTTGCAAGTCTTGTGGCAAAACAAGAGGCAAGAGGTAGAAGGTTAATAACTAGCAGGCAGATCACCTTTAGGCTTTGGGGACTGTGTGCTCCTGGGGTTTCACCCAGCATGGGCCAAGCATAGTGAGATAAATCAAATGGTGCCTTCTTCCTTTTGAATCTGTGCTCTGTCTTTCTACTCAGATTCCCAATGGGCTTTCCAACTGCTTAGTTAGCTCCAGGGTCTAATCACCACCCCAAGAGACTGGTATGTATCAGATTGTTGGTCTTTAGAGGAAGGAAGGGTCTTGCACAAGAACATAGAAATCTATTGCAGAAGTAGGAACAAAAATCAAGTCCAGTCCCAGCGCTACTAAATTGTAAACTCTACTTCCAGTCTGATGGTATATGAAGTCCATACTGTGTGTTCTCTCAGCTCTTACCTACACTCCTCCCTACAGCTCTGATTGAACTCTTGAATCTCAATTTCCTGCTCTAAAGCACCAAACCGACTTTTCCATTCTTCTGAACTGACTGCAGAGCTTAGAAATCCTTTTCAGAGCTGCCTGATTTACCCCATAGCTGGACTGCCTTAAATGTATTGTCATTGTCAATGCATCACTGTCATGCTTAGATTTCCTGTCCTGCTCCACAGCAAACATTGAATAGCCCTCTTCAGAAACATCACCTCCAAAGTGAATGGCAGGATGGAGACAGCCGTTTCTGTTTATTATCTTCTAGGACTAGATAATTGTTGCATTACACTGTGATCCAGCATAATTCCACTTACATCCTCATATCAGACCCTCACATCCATGTTTCAGTTATATTCGTCGCTTATGATAAAATACGATGTGACCAGAAATAAATTTGGGATGCTTCTTTCCCTGTTTTTTTTAGGCAGTGTTGTGAGGTGTTGTGATGAGATCATAAATGAAAGGAAATGAGGAAAGAAATACTGATGCTCTGTGCAAAGGGATAAGAGGCAGGTGCACAAGGACTAATAAAGTAAAACTGGAAAGATTTGCACAAAGAGCCTGTGTTCATTTTAAAGGGTATCTTATCCATCTTTCTCAGTCCAGACTTACTGCTTCCCTCCTACCTATAGTATGCTAGCTGGCAGGAGGAAGCAAAAGAGGAAATACCATCTCTGAGCTTCCCGGTCCCCCAGGCAGGGCAAGAAGGGACAGGTGACATCCAGTCCACAGACATGGAGCAAGACTGGCAGCAAGGGGAATGCTGCTAATGTCTGAACTGCTCCCACTCTCAGCCCTGGACTTCAGGGAACAGGCCAGGTTATACGGGTTGCAGCACAAGGGATGATGACGTGCCTGGAGGACATATTGTGCCTGAAAGCCCAGCATTGCAGTCAGCCCCTTGGATGGACAGGTTTCTCCCAATACTTAGAGCAGTATTGCTTTTTTCTGAACTGTGTTCTAATAAGTAGTGCTGGACTCTCTCAGAGCCATCATCAGACAGCTGTGATCTCAGAGTATGTGTGTGTGCAAACATACAGCATATACAGACTGATGGTGGTGGGAATATCTAGGCACTACAGGCTGTCCCTGGATCAGTGGGGAGAATGTGGTTCCTGGGTGACCATCTCTGTGTTTGATTGCAGGGAATATTGAATACAGCTGCCCGGCCACCAATGAATGTGAGATCACGAAACGGAGGCGCAAGTCCTGTCAGGCCTGTCGCTTCATGAAATGCCTCAAAGTGGGGATGCTAAAAGAAGGTAAGACAGAGTCAGTGAGAATTGTTCTCTGTCCCAACAGCACCTGGGACTCCAGGCCTTGCAGGATCTCCTAGGCTAACTACACACTTGCCCTCTCTGGCTTTCCGAAGGTATCTTTTTACAGGCTTTGTAAAAGAGTCAGGATGAGCAGTGACCGAGAGGGTAGTCCAGAGAGGAGAGTGGTTCTGGTCAGCCCCCTCATGCTAGGATATTACTTCTAGCACTTGCAAATTTGACAAATAACTGGAAACTGGCTGTGCCAGACTGTTTCCTTTCCCAAAGGAACCCCAGGCTGGAGGGTGTTGCCTTTCTTGGCCCCCAGGTCATTTTGCAGTGCTGGGGAGGACAGGCTCTTGCATGATCATGACTGGGTTGGCTGGGCTTTGTAAGGGAAGGATGGAATTAATGCAGAGCTATGTCACAGTGTGCAACAAAGGTCTGCCCATATTCCCACTCAGGAGACTTTCTGAAGATGGTAGGTAGCACAGGTTTGTCTGTGAGCTGCGGGTCCCCTGCCCTGCATGCTCAACCTCCGTTATGCTCAGGCTATTGATCCGTTCAGTGCACTCGGAGCAGTGTGCAGCTTCTCTCTTGTGCTGCTTTTCCTCCCCCCACCCCCCTTCCCAATCCTTGTCCATTCAAGGTGAACCACAGGGAATTCAGTGGCAATTAAACACATTCTTATGGATTGACTTTAAAGCTTTGTTTCCCTTGGGTCCCTCTGGGAGAGGCAGTGAGGGGAGGAAGGGGAAGGAAGGAGAAGCATGGCATGTAACCCTCTGCATTGCTGTACCTGGCAGAGCATGGTCCCCCCAGTTTAACCACAAGAACAGCAGCTGGCTGTGGTCTGTGCAAGTCCTGCATACTGGAGCCAAGATGCCAGCATGCAGCTTGCTTCCAGGTCATAGCATCATAGCAGCTGGTGATGAACTGTACAATGTCACGTGAGCATGTACTACTTTGCACTAGGGCTTTCTGATTTCTTGAGAGGCAAGTTGATGGCAACCAGTGTTGTTAAGAATGTAGATGAGATGTTAAACCCTGTTCTGTTCTTTGGTGGATGTGTAGTTTCTGTGGTTAAGTATCTTCCTGCTAGAGCACACCAGTTACCGAGGGGAGGAGATGCAGACTTGTGTAATCTGGCCCTCCCTGACCTAGGTGTAGAGGTGGTAGACTCGGAGGATCTTGATTCACTGCTGGGAGGGAGGCATCTACTTTTGGAGTTAGAGAGGGACCACTGGAAACCTGCTTCTCTGCATGTGGTAGTTTGGGGAGGGGATATAACCCCTTACCCACACACGAATCCACACTCGTGATGCTGGCTTTAGTGGGAGTGTGGATTGGTAATGCGCTCTAGCCTGCTTATATGAATCCCATAAAACAACCTTAAAAGCCTGATTTGGCTCCAGTCACTCTGCAGAGCAGCAGCACGGGTCCAGGCTCACTGGCTGCCTGTCTCTGTGTTGCCCTGCATCCAAGCAGTTGAGCCTCTCTGAGCTGGCAGCTGGGGGAGCAGAGTCACAGGAGCCAGCGCTGGCATGTCTGACTGTGTGGCCAGGGCATCCTCTGCTTCCAGTTCTGGGAGTTCAACACAGTCCAGAGCAGGGTCCTGTGAAGGGTTTTGTGGCTTAGCCTCCACATTGTGTGAAAACAGTTAACTGCTTCCAGACCAGAGTTAGGCTGGAAAGCAATGTAGGTTCATTCCCACCATGCTGTGCCTGAATGCCTGAACCCCATGAGATACTACTCATGGCAAACTGAAATTTGACTCTAAAGCTGCTTTTGTCCTGAAGTGTATTTATTAATTTTTGTTATTCATATAGGGATTGATTCGGCGTCATTAAAGCCACTGGGGAAGAGTGGTTTGCTATTGATGTTACTGTATCTGTGATCCTGCCCATAATATTTAGAGCTGTGGAATATACAGTATAAAGATTTATTGATAGTAATGGGATGCAAGAACACAAGACAATATCAAGAGGAGCAGAGGAGACTACACTAGCAATCTGCAAATAGGACTCCTGTGTCCTAACACAGAGTGATCAAGTGATGTTGGGCAGTAATCTTTTTTTCTCTTTCTTTTGCTCAGTTTCCTGAGCTGTGAAATAAGGGTCATACTGCTTTTCTTTGCAGAAGGGTTGTGAGGACTAACTAGTTAACTTTGTGTGAAGCCTGGTGGAAGCACAAAGTATTAGTATACAGAATTCAATCAATACACATCTTTAAAAGCAAAATCCAAAAAGGGAGAAAAATGGTTTTACAGTCTTTGGTCTCCACAGAGCCAGGAGTTTCTGGAAAGAACAAATCCATAATTGTTTGACTTGCTCAAAAATGCAGAATTGACAAGGGATTTTGGATTAGAAAAGGTTCATTGGTCTTTTCCATCTCTGATCTGTCATCCTATTAACTCATCCATCCCTTTTCTCTGCCAGGGCAGGAGTGTTCCCAGCTGTACATTTCTAGTTGTTTAACTGTTTTTAAAAATCCCTGATGTCTTGGTTTCCCCAGAGAGCCTATTCTGCAGTCTCCAAGCACTCATTAGGACAAGATGTGTCTTGATACTTGAGCTATGATTTTTTTCCCTTCAGTAATTTCCCTTCCTGCTTTGCCTCGGTGTACCTCTCTCTTCTTCCTTGGATACATCCATGGCAGAAGGTTGCTAAGCCAGGTTCTTTCTCCTGCTTGATTACCAGGATTTTGGGGAAAAGCGGTCTTGTGGTTAAAGGCAAGATCTAGAAACCAGTTCTCTTGACAAGTTTCTCCTTGATGTCCTTGGCACTGGGCTGGTAACTTAGTGGGAACACTTCTGGGTAAAGAAACTGTCCTTCCTCTGAAGAAGAAGAGCATGATATTCCATTAGTATCTAATTAGGGGCTTCAAGATTTCTTCTCATTAAGGGAGGAAAGATTTTCCTGGTTCTTGTTGTCATACATGATGTACATACCACCTCTTGCCTGCTGGGCATGTGGCATGAGCCTGTTCTGCAGGCAGAAGGCAGCAGTATTCAAAGATGGCAAAAACAGGTAAGCACGACTTCAAGCTTCTGCCTTACGCTTGAAACGCTCAGCTTGATGCTGCAGGAGAGACCTAGGCCCTCCCCTTGGGGAGTGCATATGAGGGTCACCAGGTATCTTCTCTCCTACTTACATGGGCTGCAGCTAAGCAAACAGCTGTGAATGTAGCCTTTTAAGATCTGGGGAGACTGCCCCTAACGCAGAAGTGCAGGTTATTCAGGCAATGCCGAGTGAATGAGGATCAGGGCAGGAAGAGAGCCGATGGAGCAATCAATAGGTGTCTCAGATATCCAGGTCACTTTCTTTAAGAGAGCTCCGATCAATGCATTGCAACAAGGGAACTGCACGGGCACCAGAACTTTGCTGTCTCAGGTTCTCCTGGTGTGACGCTGCAGGGCAGGCGAGACTCGCTGGGGAAAGCGGCAGGCGGAAAGCTCTGCCCACAGAGCCCAACTGGCTCAGATGTCTGAAGTGTTGGCCTGTCTGGCTGCCTGTCTCTCACCTTCCCCTTCCATCTGGAGTGCACCCCCGGAAAGCATTAATGAGCCCCTCACTAGCAGGCTCAGATAGGAAGCTGCTGAATCTGGAGTCCAGGATTCCAGCAGACTCCAGTCCCAGTGGCCCTGTGGAGAGGCACCGTCCCCAGAAAACCTGCACGCTGCTGCTCTTGGCCTTGCTGAAGCACCAGCGTCCAGGCAGCGGGAGATGGGGCATCTTCACAGCTTTGTCCAGTAGAAGTGCATGCCCCCCTACTCTGCAAGAATCAAGGAAACCTGAGCAACCTGTGAGGGATGCCCAGTGAAGGAAAGCATGCCCTGCAACTTACAGAGGAGAGGCATTGTTCAGAGCTGGGCATCCCTGTCTTTGGCCACCCCATTGCCTCTCTTTGCTCCCAGTACTGTCTGTTTTGTGCCCACAATGACCAAAGTGTAGCTCTTTAACTCTGGGCTCTACAAAGTAGATCTAGATCTCTCAGGCTCTCTGGAATGATGGATAGAGAAATTTCAGCAGTTTGGCAGGTCTCTTTTAAAACCTCAATATACCTTGTCAGTTTTGGGGAGAATATACCCTTGCCATTCACACTCTAGCCACCCACGGCCTTTCTGTTCTACAGGAATTTGTTTGTCTTCAAGAGGTAGATGTAATTTCAGATGACACATGGCTTGTGTAAGTGGGCTCAGAGGTTTTATTTTGGATATTGGCTGGTTAAACATGACCTCACAGCCTTGCCCTCCACACCTCTGCTGTTTCTCTGAAGTCACAGTCCTCTGTGTCACCTTGCAGAACGGCACTGTGACAAGAACAGTGATGTCAGCCCTTCTCTGTGTGTCAGTGTGGTGGGCTGACCTTGGCTAGCCACCATGTGCTGCCCACCAAGTTGGTCTTACTCCCTCTCCTCAGCAGAACAGGGGGAGAAAATATGATGAAAAAGCTCGTGGGTTGAGATAATGGCAGGGAGATTGCTCAGCAATTACTGTCATGGGCAAAACTCAACTCAGGGAAAATTTGTTTAATTTATTGCCAGTTAATAAGAGAGTAGGATATTGAGAAATAAAAACAAAACTAAAACCACCTTCCTTCCACTTCTGCTTCTTCCCAGGCTCAACTCACTCATGATGTCTACCTCCTCCCTTCCCGAGCACCGCACGTGGATAGGGACTGGGGATTTGTGGTCAGTTCATAACACTTCATCTCTGCTGCTCCTTCCTCCTCACGCTGTTCCCCTGTTCCAGTGTGGGGTCCCTCCCACAGGATACAGTCCTTCAGTCAAGCCTTTGACACTGTCTCCCACAGCATTCTCCTAGGGAAGGTGGCAGCTCATGGCTTAGGCAGGTGTACCCTTTGCTGGGTAAAAAACTGGCTGGATGGCCGAGCCCATTGAGTTGTGGTGAATGGAGTTAAATTCCCTTGGCAACCAGTCACAAGTGGTGTTCCCCAGGGCTCAGTTTTGGGGCCAGTCTTGTTTAATATCTTTATCAATGATCT